ATGTTTTTCGTTTGTTCATCTTGTATCAGACAAACATGATGTATTTCCTTTCAGACATTGTTTGTAGTATTCTGTAGTAGTCCGTGAGCTAGTGACACCAGACCTTGGGTAGTGATGTGTATTAAACTTCCGCACTTTTGGTTTTCAGTTGCTTTAGATTTAAAGTCTTCCGCTTAAATTTTGTCTCGTTTATTATATTGTATGAAAGAAAGTAGGAAAGGTGTTTTAAATATTTGGCTTGCCTACCTCCGATAGTAGGCGCCATCACGACACCCGATAGTGGAAAATTCGGGTCGTGACAATTTAACTCATGTTGTACATAACATGAAAGAAACTTTTCAGCCTTTAGCCCATTATTAAAGACACACTTTTAGGGTTATTATTATTATTATCTTCTTTCTTCTTTCCCAGCACACCAAATTCTCTCTCATTGCCTCTTGCTTCTTTCTTTCTAACCCACATAGATCCCTCACCCTCTCTTAACCTAGCCCCCCGCTATTCCCCCTCCTTTACCCCCTACGCAGTTCTGCCATCAATGGCTCGAAGAAGGCTCGGGCTCCTACTCCGTCGTCCATGGTAGCAAGCAGAAGAATATTGAAAATTTTTGAAAGAAAAAATGAAAATACACACAGTTCTGAAAATAAAATAGCTCTCAAACTTGATTTGCACCAAAAAATAACCACTAATTTTGGAAGATTTTGAAGTTTGAAGTTCTGCTCATTATTATTATGACCTTGAGGTCTCGAATCTGAAATTGGGTGTATCTTATCTATGTGTTGAATTCCGAATCGTTGGCACAAAATTGTTAACTTATTGACGAGTTGAATCATCCAATACCTTCTACTACAACTCGAGGCTTGGATAAAAAATCATAACTATGTAGTAGTTTGTATCAACACTGTATAATAGTGTATAATTGTATATATGGATATACAAACACCTCTTATACACTATTATACATGTTTATTCAAGTTAATACATTATTTACAGTAAGTGTAGTGTTGGACATTCTATGTTTTCTAGTGGAAATATTGTATAAGTGGTGTTTATATACACTTATACAATATTGTATAATTGTGTATAAATGTGTATATTTGTGTATAATGTTGTATAATTATATATTTTTTCAGTTTATAAGAATGTATATACATTGTCAATGTGTAAGAGGCCTTTACGGAAGTTTGACACTTCCTTCTCTTCTTCTTTTTCGTGTACGTGGTGTATAAAAAAGATTTTGTACGCGTTGGAGGGATTCTACAATTCATTTACCAAGTTTTTATTTTTCTTTTATCCTGTTGGATTGCTTCAGCAATTGCACATAAAAGTGATTGAATTTCTTACCTTTAGATAATTCAGAATGAGTTGCATTGTGGTTGATTTGCATTCTTTATCTAATGCTTAATAATCAGAGGAAATCAAGAGAATGAAAACAACTGGTTATATAAAGAGGGAGCAATAACCGTAGTTGATTGTGTGAAATAAGTTGTATTTCGGGAATTAATCTATTATTTTTGGACTATAGATTTACAAAGTGGTATCTAAGCTATTATGTTGCAAGTCATGTGTGTGAGTTGTATTTATGTGAAATTATCCCTATGAAATAGCGTACAATTTTTATTGAACTCTGAAAATAAAATTAATTGAAGAAATTACAGCATAGGTCGATACTAGCTCCTGGAACTTTGGACGTTGGAGGCTAATAAGCGCCGCCGCTATTGTCCATATATACCCCTAACCCCTCCTCTCTTCATCCTCCTGGAACCTTCCCGAATCAGCAAACAGATACCCTAAAACATCATTACTACTATTTAAAGCGGAAAACATCATTAAATAGTACCTTTGACCCATTGTCTTTCTTTCTCTGACCCTTACCTTCACTGCATCTAAATCCATTCCCTTATTGCAATTTTTAGATCCTTCATTGTTATAACCGGCGGCGAGTAATTTAGTTGAAGGGAATGGAGGGAGGTGCAGCAGCAGAGAAACAGAATGAAGCTACAGCGTCTTATACTTATTGGGTGAGGGAGGCGACACGAGATGCTGCACCTTTACCTCTTCCTAAGAAGCTCACTTCTCAGGACCTCAACAATCAAGCCAATAACCCACAAACCCACCTTGGGTCCGCCTGGAATCGGGTATGACTTACCCCCTTCGTTTCTTCATAGTTTGGTAGAATGATTATCTTTTTATATTGTTTATTATTCAGTTCTGGATCAAGGGCGGATGTAGGTTTGTGACAATGGTCGAGTAGAAAGATCAAATTTGATTTTAATCAGTTTAGGATAAGGGGCGGATGTAATTCACTGCTTTTTTGCTCTCTTGAAATCAAGAATGTTAATGTAGTTACATGTTCAAAATATATTCAGACTCATTATATTTGAGTAAGTGAATATTAGAGAATTTCATAATATTCATTAACGTATGTCATTGTATTCTCGGAGATACTTGTTTTGTTAGGTGTACGGAATAATCACGTATCATGTTGTTGGTAGCTCATGACTCCTACATCTTAGCCCTTCTTGTACATTGCTAGTGATACAAGTGAATAAGAAGATTTCTCTCTTATTACATGCTTGAACTCTATATAGGTCAGAAATAGTTTAAAAGATATACGTTTATTTTTGCTCTGTACCTGTTGTCGCAAAAGACCAGTGAGAATTCAGATCCACTTGCTTAAAATCGTGGATGAGCCTCTATATAGGATTATGCTGGCATCTGATGTTGTATCTATGTGCATATGCAAAATGTTGGTGTACACCAACTATAGAAAACTTCTCAAATATGTAAGACTTCTGGTCTTTGCTAAGTTATAACAAGTAAATGTAGAAGTGTTGCTCTAAGTTCTGATATAGTCTGTGCTTTTCAGTGTTTCTACAGTTGCTTACAGAAAGGTCATAGCTTTGTTGACAAAATAAATTCTGGTGTGTCATTTAATCAGACTTCTTTAGTTACCTGGGGTTCATGCAATTGTGTAAAGATTTGATGATGGGACGCAAGAAATACTGAACTTTTCCTAACACTGAAGAATATTTAGTGGCCCATGAGGTTTACAGACTATTACTTGGATAATTTTACTTTTTAAATTTTGACATAATTAAAGATGTTTCAGCGGCTTTCACATTGCTCACTGTATTCAGCTTTTGCGAGGCTGTACTGGTGTGTTGAGGAGAAAGATATAATGTATCATGAAATCTAGGATACAAAAGGAGAAAAAGATAGATGGATATTGGAGAAGCCTCCCAACTCCAAGTCCTAAACTTAGCCCCTTGATTTCGTTCCTCGACACATAACCATTTAAGACAAAATCCTTGCAAGATAAATCTGAAGTAGTTGTGAGAGAGAAATATGTGATGGAACATTGAGAAACACTTTTTGCTTGTGAAGTGAACCTAAAAGTAAATGATGACATTTAATTTGGAATAGAGGCAGTGCAAAATGGATTCTATATTTTTAGTTTGCCAAAATGTCCTAATGTGTATTTGACTAGAGGTAGCGAAATAGTTTCAAGTTCATTAAATAATTATGTCATTGGGATTCACAGGAAAGGAACCTACATTACTTCCTGCACATCCCTAATCATAAAAATTGCATACTAAATTTTTGAACAGTACCTTCTATATTGAACTCTGTCTGTGATGAAGCCAGTCATAACAATGGATAATTAGCGTATTTGAGCTCAAATAACACCAGAAACTGGCTTGTTCTTTTGCCCCTAGGGCTTTGGTCTAGTGGTAAGAGTGCAGAGAGTGATGTGTGGGTTAGGCGCATGTCACGAGTTTGAATCGTCACACAGACAAAAGTCCGGTACTTTAGTGGAGAAGGGTGGAAGGACCGATCCATTGTTCACCGAGTTCAAACCGTGTGCCACTGGTTCTCGGGGATTTCTCGGTTATCAAAAAGAAAAAATGGTCTAGTTCTATCAACCCAAAAAGCACCCAGTGGTTAATTGTGTTAACTCCAAGATAAATGAAGCAGGCTGTCGGCTTATTACCATGCTGAGGTGATGAGACTAAGGGGCTAGGCTAGTTTAGACAACTGAGATTAAAAGAAAGTATAGCAGAGACATTGAGGGAAAGCTGGTAGCTGGGGTTTTAAGATGTTATCTGCCATTATTTCATTCCGATTTATCCCCTTCCCCTGCCCAAAAAGAAAACAAACAATAATAATAATAATAAAGATAAATAAATAAATAGAATAGAATCTTTTCATAAAAAAGGAAGGTAAACAGATAAGTTAGTACCAGGAAAACCAACAATACTGAAGGGAAACAATTCATGACATATGGTTTTTCAGTGTTTGTTTCTTCTGATTGATTCAGTTGTATCGTGTATTCTCATGATAATTGTTACTTTTCTTTTGCAGGCTGGAACATGGGAGGAGAAAAATCTAAATAAATGGGCAAATGATAGAATCAAGGTATGAGCTTCAGTATTCTTCCCTTCATCACGTTTTGGAGTGATACTGTTTTAAAAAAATTTCATGGAATTGCCTCTTCCTATGACCTACAACTCTGGTTTCACGACTAATGAGCTCTGTGATCTAGTGGAATTGTCTCTTTGGAAGATTTGATTGGTGCTTCTTAAATAAATGTTTACTAAATTTGGTAGAATAGTAAATAAGTTTTGAGTAAATTATCTTTATGATAGGCAGCGGAAAATGGGCTTACATGATCTGATTGGTTCCTTGTGCCCGAATTATCAAAAATAAGTTTCATGTTTCAAGTCCCTCCTTGCTGTTGCCAAAATCTGAAAGTCTAAACTGGACATTGAGTCCAATGCTAAACCATGTAGCACTAGGATTGAGTTACTCTTGAAGGCCATTAATAATAGCAAATAATATGGACGACATTATTCGCTGCAAATAAGAAAGACTAGTACCTATAGACATCATGTAATTTGTGAATGTGATGGAGTTGTGAACTAAAAGAGGGGAACAATGCTATTTCCTACAAGTTAGTTCCTACTTGTTGCCATTACTCTTTTTCATTCTTTCTCTAGTCGAGGGTCTATCGGAAACAGCCTCTCCGCCCTTCCAAGGTAGGGGTGAGGTTGCGTACATCTTACCTTCCCCAGATCCCACTTGTAGGAAATCACTGGGTTTGTTATTGTTGTCCTACAAGTTAGATTACTTTTGCATTGATCTTATGTTCCTTTTCCTTTAAATGTGTAATTATGCAGTGGGAATCTTTGGATGCTCTGTTTATGTTATCAAGCTAGTAGCGCTTAGTCTAGGTTCTGGTTGCAACCCCTAATTTATTTTGTTTTTTTTTGCAACAAAAAAATCGGCTGTGTGAATATAAGTTCCATCCACCAACAAACTGTTTATGCGTCTTTTTTTAAATGTTTCTTCACAGTTGTTTGACTTGTTCTCTGAAATTGCACGGTGAATGGCCATGTATGATGTCATGATGCTTGATTTCATGGCTTCCATAATGCCCGTCATAAATCTATTACTAATATGTGCATGTTCATTTACACTATACAAATTATTTGAAGTTTCCAATATTTATGTTGAAATGATTTTTCTACTTTTAACATGACAAAATGAGATCTAATAGTTCGTAAAGTACTACTCTCTCAGTTCCAATTCCTGTGGGCGTTGATTGGGCACGAAGTTTGATAAAGAAAGGAAAACTTTTGAAACTTGTGTTGTAAAATAAACCATGGATATTAATGTGGCCCTAAATCATTTCATTTAGGGTAAAATAGGAAGTTAAAATTAGATTGTTATTAAACAAGGAAGTTTGACACTCTTTTTGGAATAGACTAAAAAGGAAAGTATGACACATAAATTGGGAGAAAAAGAGAGTATCTCTCCTTGTAACTATGCAAGTCCCTAACCTTTCTTAGGAAACTATTGCAATACTTTTGGATGTTCTATGGAAATATTAGAACCGTAACACTTTTAAAGTTATGTGACTGGTTGTTCTCAAATACTTTCTCCTTACAGCTATCACAAGTTTCTAGCCTTTCTTACGAAAGCAGAAATAAACTTGTCTTTGGATGTTTGGTGGAAAAATGTAGAAAAATCTTAGACTATTACAAGTAGTGAAATATTGAAAAGGTAATTATTTGCAAGTTCATCGAAATATGAATGAATCATATTGCTTTTCATTTAATTCAACATAGTATCATAAGCTCGTAATGCTAAAAGATTCTGTAATATAATTCATAGTCGTTCTGATACTTTTAATTCATATCTAAGTTGCTCGGACACGGGTGTGGGTGTCCGACACGGGAAATCTAGAGGTCTGATCCTTCGAGATGTAAATTCTAAGATTTGAGGATACAGATTCTAGTACGGATACGGGTGCGGGGATCCGGCTAAAAATAATTCTAAAAAAAAAAATCTATATTATGAGAAATTTTGTGGAATACTTACGTATAACTTGTAAACTGTAGATTTCTTTTTTATTCTCAAGTTGTAGATAAGTAAAGGATTGATTTCCTAGATAATGTAAGCTATTTTCTTCAAATTTACCCTATTTTTGATTCTGATTTCGGGAATCAAATTGTATCTCGTCTCAAAATTTTCTGTCCTGGTCAAAATACCCAAAATTGTTTGACTAGATCTAGTACGAAAAAACTTTTATCCACGCCCATACTAGTGTCATGTCGACGCGGGTGCGCGTGTCGGAGCAACTTAGATTCATAGGGAACTTTTTTGACGCATGTTATGAATCTATGGTGTGCCTTCTTTGTATGTCTTATCATATTTTCTTATTATTGCTTGTATTAGTTAATTCTTTTATGAATGTTTTATGTTAGAAAATTTTACAATTCCTTTTTTTTATGTTGAAAATATTCTGAATAGTTTCAACTTTTATTATGATAAGAAACTTATTACTGAAATCGAAAGTCCGAACCATATATGTGTGTGTGTATGATATGTAGGCATGTATACATCTATGTTACCTGATTCTTTTGAATGGCAGGAGCTGCTAGTATCTGTGGGATCACTGGAGTATTCTGGGGGTAGAGCAGAAGTAGCCGAAGTAACACGATGTTCTGGTGATGTGAGTGCTTTTTTTTTTTTTATGCCTAAAGTAGTTTGCTATTTGAGGTCGATATTAGGGAAACAACATAAGATTTTTTTTTTTTTTTTGCATTCCCTCTCTTTTACTTTCATCTTCTCTTTTCTCTTTTTAATTTTCCAGAGACAATGATATGGAGAAGGTGAAAACGTACTAAGTATCTTAAACCTACCTAATACTGTTACATGGTTTTACACTATGGCTTGCATAATTTGCAGGATCTTAGCAAGGGGAGGGGATCTAATATAGAGTTTTATGTGCCCAAAGTGTTTAGGAATCAAGAATTGGTTGTGTTCAACAGTTTCCTCTCTTCGAATCTGTTTAATTTATCAGAGTATTTACAAATAAATTGTAAACGAACTTAAGCCAAGATGATGTGATATTGCCATACACTTGTAACCATCCACTTCCACTCTCATGACATATGTGGTATATTCTGCAGCCTTGAGCTTTGTGATTTCTATTTCTTTGCTCATAATGTTTGGGTGACACAACAGGCATTCTTGGTGACTGTACGAAATAAAAAGCGTGTTGGCTACACATACGAGCTGACAGTCAAAGTCAAGGGTATTTCTTTCTCTTTGAAATCTGTTTCTTGAAGTCTTATCCGTTTTAACTTTCTATTCTTTCCGCCGTTCTTCTGTTTTCATTTGATAAGCAAATGATGTTATACTGTAATTAGGGGAATGGCTTGTCGGAGCTGAGAAGAAGGTGGTCAAAGGCCATATAGATATACTGGAGTTCTCATTTGGTGAGCTAGATGATCTGCAGGTACTTGCTAGATATGTGTTCATACTTTCATAAAAGAAATTAAGAGCAAGTTGGAAACTGATGTACATGGTGGTATGAGAATGGTTTTGTTGATAAACGAAAAGCTATCACTGCTCTTCATTGTTCAGACCAATTTTCTCTGGTGTATACAGTTGTAGTCTGGAATTGTACGAACTTTAGTCTTTTCTAGATAGAAAAGCGAATAGCTATATTTTTCTTAATGCAGTAAAGGTAAAAGAAACACAATATTAACTTATTGTTCTTTCTTGCAACTCTGGAAATTCAACAACCCCTTTCCAGTACGTGTGGCCTCTTTGCCTTTTCCAAACAACACTCCAGGGCAAAAGAAAGAGAAAGAAAAGATGTTCTAATGTATTTAAAAGGAAGCAAGTTGTGACCAACCTTTATTCTTTATTTGTAGATTGAAGTGAAGCTTAGTGAAGACAAGGATCTTGAACAACAAGACAAGCAGCGGATAAAACAGGATATGAAACAATTTCTGAGACCTCTTCGGGAAAAATTGCTTCAGTTTGAGCAGGAACTGAAAGAGTTGTAGTGTGCTGTCGCGTCTGGTACTATTTTTAAAGCTTCTTTTTTAATCACCCTAAAGTGCTTGTGGTCTGTAGTCTTGGACTAGTGTTCCTTTGACTGGAAATTATCACTTCAGCTTGTATTAGTAGAATGCAGTACACTCCAGGAAAATTAATTAAGAATCTTGGGACTTGGGCCTATTTGATGCTGGTGGTCTTGGTGACTATTTCATCTTAATTTGATATTTTTAGTGCACGACTGTGAAGGTGTCTAGAGTGTCTTAACTCAAAAGCTTAAGACAGTTCGTCAAGACATTTTAAACCCTATTGGAATATTTTACATAACTAATGAGGGACGAGTGTGTGCTCTCACTCACTTCCACACGCGTGACTTGATTGTAGGATTTACACGTGGACTTTTGTTTTGTTTTTTCCTTTTCGTTTTTGCTCTTTTTTTAATATTAAGAAGGCTGAAGAATGGACCTGAGATATAGAGAACAAGGATGAAGAGTGGCCTGAAGCTGAGGAAGAGACAACCGCTCAAGTCAAGTAGGCTCAACAAGCTAAGGAATGAGTTTAAATCAATTAGTGACTCGACAGGTTGAACGGTGTGTGAAAAGAAACCAACAGTATTATAATAAAAAAAAATGGTTGTGCACATAAGCTTATTAAAGTTTGGCAATAATCTTATGCGAAAAAAATTTGAGTATTCAACCTAAAACCGTAAAGACGATGGATGGATTGACTCACAATATCATGCACCTCTTTGCAAACCTTATACAACCAATGAGAGGCAATTGTATGCAGTAAGATAAACAAACCAAATTGCCTAAAAAACAGATCTTTTCCGGTTTGTAGCATAAATCACATCTCACATGAACGTCAATTGGATCACCTTGTTCTCTTAATATCAAACTGGCTACAATACCTTGGTTTTCTTCCTGTTCCCAAATGATGATAATATATAAAACTAGTGGTTTCTAGTATGAACTGGCATGCAAATTGTAGCCGCAATTTTAAAGCTACTTTGAATCTAAATCTATCCTTACAACTATTCCTCAAAAAGAATTTTATGGAAGTTGGCCGTCATTACTTCCTGGTAGTTACATTTAATATTTTAGTTCGTTCTTTTCCAAAAGTACCAGCTTATTATTCTATTGTAGAAGTTGTGATCTTTCATATTGGGCTAATCATCAATGTTTATACGATTTTATGTCATTGAGTTTGGCTTGTAGTGTAAGTTTCTTTTTACATCTTTATTCGGTTGATTATTACGTGTTGTCTCTATTGTTTAGTGACCAAAGCAAGAATAGTGTGAAGAACAAATGGACACTTTCGAATCTGTCCAATCTGTGCTCATGATGTTTCTCTTTGCTTTTACACTTGTAGATTTCAGCAGAGATAGATTTTGTCCTTGCCTGAAAATGGTTTGAATAATTTTCTTTTACCTAGATTCTTTAGGAGACTATATGAATGTTGATGGTTCATATAGTCGGTCAACTAGTTATTGGATTAAACATAGTTAATTGAAGGGTAAGTGCGCAACTAGTCGATTTTGGGATCCCGATTTAAGGCAATTTCAGGAGTTTACAAGTTTTTGTAAGTTTTGGCTACTTTAGGATCAATTTCAAGCATTCGCGACTGAAGTTGTAGAAATCTAAGCCTGACGTTACAAGTTCTATCTAAAGTTTGCTATATTGTATATACAAGCAAACTTCAAACTTTTTTTTCTTCTGAATTTCATATATACCTGAGGCCAAATTTCAAACAGCTATATATGTCTAATTTTTTACCTAAATTTTAAATATCAAGATTCATTCAGGAGACAAAATTAACAAGAACCTAAGTGTAAAAAGAGTGGATATATGCAAAGTTGCAGAAAATTTTCAATTATATGAGACGAAAACAAGAAGCACTAGAGAGATCGCAACTTTGTTAGTTATATGATTCAGTTAAGTGCAGACTCGTCCAAACCTTTTATAATCATTTTCGTTTGTTGGTTTCTTAAAAAAGCAAAAGATAGGCACTGCTCGGTAAACGGCATTCGTGCGTTGATCGTTGCTTACAGCTTGGGTTTTACAGCAACTAACAAGAAAGAGGGGGGTAACCACCCGACCGGTTATTTTGAGAGTATTTGTCCCGATCCCCTATTTACTGTTTTCCCCATATCGGTTTCAGCTTATGTGACTTGCCAGGAGGTTTTATTTTGGTTTTTGGAGTGTTTTGAAATACTTAGTCCCTTAACGGAAGCTTAAGCCTTAGGATTCTGACCGTAGTCGGAATTGTGTGAAGACGACTTCGGAATGGAGTTTCGTCGGTTCCGTTAGCTCCGTTAGTGATTTAGGACTTAGGGGCATGTTCGAATTATGTTTTGAAGGTCTGTAGCTTGTTTAGGCTTGAAATGGCGAAAATCGAACTTTTGAAGATTTTGTCCGGTAGTGGACTTTTTGATATCGGGGTCGGAATCCGATTTTGAAAGTTCGAATATGTCCGTAATGTAAAATATGACTTGTGTGCAAAATTTAGGATCAACCAAACCTGATTTGATAGATTTCGGCATTGGTTGTGGAAATTTGAAGTTTCAAGTTCTTTAAGTTTGAATTAGAGGGTGATTCGTGATTTTAGCGTTGTTTAATGTAATTTGAGGGTCGACTAAATTCGTATGATGTTTTAGGATTTGTTGGTATGTTTGGTTGAGGTCCCGAGGGCCTCGGGTTGATTTCGGATGGTTAACGGATCAAATTTGATTTTGGAAGAATGGCTGAAGTTGTTGCACCTGCGCAAGATTGACCGCAGGTACGAGCCTGTAGAAACGAGCCTAGGGACGCAGGTGCAGCTTGGAAGGAAGAGGCTAGAGGTCGTAGGTGCAAAGGTATAGCCACATCTGTGCTTTCGCAGATGCGGAAGATGGAGCGCAGAAGCGGAACGACCAGGGGTATGAGGGATCGCAGAAGCGGGCGCGCAGGTGCGGCCCATTGTTCACAGATACTGACCCAGCCCTTTAAGTCATTTCCGCACTTGCGAGGGAAATTCCGAAGGTGCGGCGTCGTAGGTGCGATTGTTGGCCTGCAGATGCGGAATCGATAGATAGAAAAGTGCCAAGTCGAGGGTTTTATCCCATTTTCAATTTTGGGACTTTGAGAGCTCGGATTAAGGCGATAATTTAAGGATTTTTCAGAGAGAACTTTAGGGTAATGATTATTAACTCGTTTTTGGTTGTATTCCATTAATCTATAGATGATGTCATCATTAAATTAAGGATTGGGTGAGAAATTTGGGGGAAAAGGTTGGAAGTTCTTCAACTGGGTTTTTGAGATTTGATTGGGATTTTGATATCGGATTTGGATAATTTTGGTATGAGTGAACTCGTGAGTGAATGGGTGTTCATATTTTGTAACTTTTACCCGATTCTGAGACGTGGGCCGAGGGAGACTTTTTAAGGCGATTTTCTAATTTCTTGCTTTAGCTTTGATTTCATTAACTAGATTAGTTTCCTATAGTTATATTATAATATGTAATTGATTTTGTCTAGATTTGGTCCATTCGGATTCGGATATACGTGGAAAAGGCATTGTTACCGATTGATTGAGCTTGGTTCGAGGTAAGTGGCTTGCCTAACCTTCTGTGGAGGAACTCCCCTTAGGATTTGGTACTGTTGTGTTATGTGAGCGCCGTGTACGTGAAGTGACGAGTGCATACACGGGCTATTTATTGTAAAACTCCATTTTCACTGAGTAATAATCTATCTCACTTTAATTGAGTTATATTAGCATATGTAATTGTCCTGTTTAGCCTAGAATAGCGTGTCTACATGTCTTAAATGCTTATCTGAACTCCGTGCAACATATTTAGTGGATCTTCTGCTTCTTCCTTGACTTGTACTTAGTCTAAACTATATGGTTTCGTGTTATAGTTGTTATCTCCATTGTTTGAGCTGCGTATTTATTTTGGGACTACAGAACGGTATTCCGGGAGATCCCCTTGCGTAGTTACTTTGGGACTACGGGACGGTGTTCCGGGAGATCCCCATGCATATTTACTTTGGGACTACGGGACGGTATCCCGGGAGACCCCCTGCACATTTACTTTTGGGACTACGAGACGGTATCTCAGGAGATCCCCGATTGTTATTTATGTTCACTGTGCTTATATGTTTCTGTGATTTCCTTCTTGTTTTCAGTCTTTATTATAATGCAATATTTCATTCTTTCTTATTTTATACATATATACCAGTAGGTCTCTGACCTGACCTCGTCACTACTCGACCGAGTTTAGGCTTGGCACTTACTGAATACCGTTGTGGTGTACTCATACTACTCATCTGCACATGTTTTCGAGTACTGATCCAGGTACATCATTCAAGCCTCACTATTAGTTATGCATCTGCTGCTGTTATGGAGACTTCGAGGTACATCTGTCGCGTCCGCAAACCTAGGAGTCCCCCTCTCTTTTGTGTAGTCCTTCCTCTGTTACTTCTAAACATTAATGTATAGAACTTTTAGTAAATTCGTAGGAGCTTGTGACTTATGATGTTCCGGATCTTGGGAAGATTTTGTATGTATTTTTTTGGGAGTTGTTATTGTATATGCCGAGCGGTATTTCTCTCAATTACTTCTTTACTATTGATGTTAGTGATTTTGATTTATGTTTTCAATTTTGTTGTTTTTCCACAGTATTAGGCGTACCTAGTCGTTGGGACTAGGTGCCGTCATGACGTCTTATAGAGGTAAATTGGGTTATGACAAGTTGGTATAAGAGCTCTAAGTTCATAGGGTGTGGTGAGTCACAAGCCGGTTTATTAGAGTCTCGCGGATTGGTATGGAAACGTCTGTACTTATCGAGGCTATGGGACTGTTAGGAAAGGTACACTTCTTTGATTCCTTGTCGTGCGAATATTTGTTTACTTCAAACTTCTAAACTTCTGTATTCTATTCTCTCACAGATGGTGAGGACACGTACAGCCTGAGACCAAGCACCTGCACCCCCTGCTAGAGCCTCTAAAGGCCGGGGCCGGGCTAGAGACCGAGGACATCTATGTGGAGCAGCTAGAGCACTCGCACGAGCTACCACAGAGGAGCCACCAGTAGCTCCAGTCGGAGAGCAGGCACCTGAGATGCCTACTGCTACTACACTGGCTCTTCAAGAGACCCTTGCATAGTTCATGAGCATGTTCGATACTCTAGCTCAGGCAAGGTTGATTCCCCTTTCTCCTGCCACATCTCAATCTGGGGAAGGAGCACAGAATCCCGCCGCCCG